CTTTCTTCACTTCAGTTGCCAGTCTTTACCTATGAGAAAGTATTATTACTGGCACGACCAGTAAAAAAAACAACAACACTAAACCGTCAAACTGTAGTCATCCAACGATACTTTTTTTTTTTAAATCAAGTAATCTATTGTTTTTCATCATCATCTCCTTTTGTTTTTCCCCTTGAAAGTTTTTCTCCTCTACTTCATTCACTGTAAGAAATTTACAATTCCAAATTTTGCAGTCCCTATGATACCTGCATAAAATTAACTAAGAGAAAAAAAGCAGCCCATAGCTTCTCTGAAATGCAATTACAAAAAGTGGAGATGTTGGAAGAGAGAGATGAACGGAGAGAATATGATATATGTAAAAAGAGAGAGGCGAAGCGCTTAACTGGAAAGATTCTCCTTGATTCTTTCTTTATCATCTTCTTCGTGAATCATTCAATTTTTCGTTTTTGCAGCCGTCGGTTTTAATCAAAAAATTAGACAATATCAGCAACAATAAATTTCCACTAGTAACGAAAAAATTGGTACGAAGATGACCATCAATGAAGAACAGCATTCAGATCAACATCTCCTTTCTTAATCTCCTTTTCTACTTTTATCCCCTTTTACTTCCAAAAGAGCAGTAACAAATTCTAAGATCTTTGTCATATGACTAAAAAAGAACAATTTTTCGTCTCTTACTGTGAAAATAAGTCATTTGATCAAAATAAGTCAAAAGTATACGACAAGCAAGTGAACAGATGCCAAACACATAAAACAAATCAAACTGTTGCTACTCAAAAGTGTCGATTAATGCCGACTAATGACTATTAACTGATTGGACAGTAGCAACTAAAATACTGTTAATCAGCCTAAAAAATTAATAAAAAAACTTAAAATAGAAAAAAATTTGAAATAATGTGATTGAATTTCTGTATCCAACACCACTACCACCACCCGCAACAAACTCACACATCTTCTTAGTTCACTGATACTTATACTGAAAACAGAAAAAGAAGCCCCAAAAAAGTATAATTTACATTTGTAGATGACTAACTACTAGTCTAATAGACGTCACAAACAAAGAATATGCAAAAGACGAACACCGTTAGAATTGACAAAAAAAAGTAACGTTTCCTTGGTTTTGCTTTTCATTCGTCGCCTCACCAACTGTTCCAGTTTAATAAGGCAAATTAATTTGAAATTATTGGAAAGTTAATCTGGTTTCTTTCATCTGTCCGTAGTAAACGGTACGTTTTGTGTTAACAAACTGAATTCAGCGTAAATTAGCTGAAAGAGGTAACGATGAAGACAAAAAGCGCATAAATAAAAATCTGTACTCGTTAACCAGTGAAACCAAACAAAAATAAGCAGTAGTACTGTAATAATAACATATATTAATACAACTATAAACTAAATAAATCAATCATAATTGTTAACTGTAGCACAAAGCAATAGTTTTTAATTGAATGTTTCGACAGAGTTTGGCAATGTATATGGCCATCTTAACGCATATACACTAAAATACTGTCAGTGCTATTTAAAATTGTACAAATGCCTCGCTAATTAAACGTTTTAAACAACTAATATATAAACGAATAATACATATGCAGTAATGAGCAAAACAGTGAACTTATCCTAAACTTCTGGGTCTAACTCATAAATTAGACTAGACTCCCATTTCAGAACAACTAAAAATGGAATTAGCTAACTGGAGAACTTTTTAAGAACCGAAGTAAGCCCAGCAAAGTGCAAATTACTTTTTCTTCTTTTTTTTTTCCCTTCACCTCATCACAAACAGTTTGGATTAGCCGACGAAATGTTTTTTGCAACATTCAAATACACCCATATCATTACGCTGTAGATTCCAGTAGAATAACACCATGAATAATAAACAAAGGAACGACAAAAAGTCAATTCAAAGACTTGTTATTAGAAATAGAACCAATAGATCACATAGAAAAAAAAATAACAGAAAAAAAAACTTACCAAAAAAGTGATTATCTTTGTACCTGCAAAAAACAGGCATAAAACTGGCCAAACCTGAAATCAATTTAAAAGATATAATCTCTCAAACCCCCCTCCCCCCTCCCCATTTTTTTTAAACCCCGTTTTGTTTTTTAAAAGCTGAAAACAAAAGAAAGAACAAGTAGCACTACAGAAAAAAAAAAAAAAAAGCTTATTAAAATTTGGCAATGCATCTTTACGCTTTCTCATTTGTTCTTAATACCAAGTTTCTCCGGTGACTAAAACTGCTCTATAGCAACAAGGCAATTTTGGAAGCGCCGTGGTAACAAGATGCGAAAGTTATGAGTACAGATTCATATTCCAGCCTTTAACACAACTGAAAATACTGTCATCACAATCTATTTTAAGTTATCAGAAAACACCCGAATTGCTTCGGAAAAGTATGTAGTACGGAAGAAGAGTTGACTATCAAACGGGCAGCGCAAAAAAGTACAATCTTAGACAATTACAGCGGGACAGCTATACTGGTGACTAGTGATTTATTGGCTGAAAATTACATTTTCTATTGCACGAAGACACAAAAATTTTATGCTGCTAAAAGAAAATTTTGAATTAATTTAACGAACTTTATGTTGCAGTTTGATTACGATAGTTCCTCTGTAAACTCAAATTCAAATCGGTCACCGTTTGAACAACAAATGTTGAAGTATGATCGTTAAATGCAAGCCATTGCTCGACATTTAGGGCATCATTCAATTCTAATCAACCAGTTGTTTACTCCAATCAGCTTTTTCTTCTTTTAATCTTCGTTGGTACCTTGACCTATAATTCTGAACGTTTAATAGCTGTTTGCAGTTTGTAAGTAACTGCAAAATTAATATATAACATTGAACATTTTTCAGAACAATGTCAAAATCTCAGAAGCTCTCCAAGGAGGATGAAATGTTACTGCAGGTAAATGTTCTTTGTTCAGCTGTATTGTAAGTGTACAGTTTATCTTTCTGTCAGTGCTTATCCTAATTTTTCTAACTGAGAAAACTTTGGTGCTTGAAGATTTTTTGTAAAAGATTAATTCTGAAAGGTTTTAGATAAATATTTCTGAGATTAACGCAAAAGTTTTTCCTTTTTTTTTTTTTTTTATTAGAACCACCATTTTGGTAGCCAAACAGAAGGCTTCTATTCAGGCGAAATTAACATAATGAATTGCAATTTTTACGCTATTTTCAACTCTTTACTTTTCATTAACAAGAGGTAGACAATTGTCATCAATGGCAGAAATTACCTTTTGGCCTGAAGTTCTATTGTTGTATTCTAAATCGTTGAAAAAGATGACTAAGAAGCAGGAAAGGTTTTAGTCATATGATGCACTTCAGCAGCTTTCTTATGACCTGCTTTAGGATTTCTCTGCTGCAGTAACAACAAAAGGTAACCTGATTTTTTATGGTAATGCAGCAGTAGTCACGCTTGGTCCTTTATATCTTTTCTATGGAATTCATCAAATGGAGGTTTCTGATTCTTGGATAGTTTGGCTTGTTGCTGCTGTAACGGCAGCATATCTCATTACTTTCGCTTACAAGCAAATTAAGCATCAGCTGAAACATAAGTTAGTGAATTGCAATTTTTACGCTATTTTCAACTCTTTACTTTTTATTAACAAAAATATTGGTGAGTTAGATTTTGTATATTTTGCGGCAGCTTGACTGTGTTGTTACAAAGATATCTCATTGAGGCAAGTATGATTTTTATCCTGCTACCACCCAATTAACTTTTCATCTTGGAAAAGTTTCTTTTTAATTTTCTCAATTCTTCACAGTGCTTAGCAGAAGTTTTAAATATGTGATAGGAAGTTTTAGTGGTTTTCTGTCGTTTACCTTTAGTCAGCCACTTTAAACATCGTTGATTTGTCAATACTTCTTTCTTTCTTTTTTTTTGAAATGTAAAATTAGTCCTCATCAAACAACAAATAGGTTATGTGTATATTACCTGCAGAGTGGTTGTAAAAAGAAGCGAAGCTATTACACGAGAAATGAACAGAAAACTGGCTGATGACAAAAAGATGTCTAAAAAGGAGAAAGATGAAAGGATTCTGTGGAAGAAAAATGAGGTAAGACATTTGGTCTTTTTGTTCTTCATATAATAAGAATTCCCGTTGTGAATGATTGATCCAGTGTTGATTCATTCGAAGGTTTTTAATTAGATCTTCATTGCAGGAAATCCTCCTGGCCAAACAGCATTTCCAGCTTTCTCTTTTGAACATATTTTTGAGAGTGGGAATGATTTTTTTTTGCTTTAAAAGTGTTATAACTGAAAGTTAGCACGAGATTTAATTTTCATAAAAATTTCAAAATGCTGGAGGTAATAGGTGATTTTGAAGTTCTTAGTCAAGGGTGGAAGAAGGCTGTTGGAATGTTTGAAATGTTGGTAAGTAGAGAGTACAAATGACTGTTTTTGCAAAGTGCATCTAGTCATATGGCAGTTCAAATTCATACTTACATTTACCACCGAAAAGAATCGTGTAATAGCAAATTTCTCTTGATAACATACCGCCTTTTTAAATTTTTGAAGCCTGGAAAAAGAGAAAGATTTTAGAGGTTTTAAGGTTATTTGCTATTTTCTGTGGTCTGATTTTTTATAGTAGTGCTGTGAGTATTAAGTGAGATTTCTGTTGAAAATTTTTTGGGGAGGAGTGCACGTTTCCGTTTAGTGTAGACGTGCCAATAAGTGTACCACTGCTTAGGATTTTAATACTGGAAACTCAGTAACGAGTCCATTAATGAAGATGTGTAAAATTGTTTCTTTTTCTACTTGAGAGGGTGAGCCTTGTTAAATGGCAGTACAGATTTAGTTCGTAGTAAACCGTATTGTTTTTCAGAGTACACTGGGTAGGGTAGAGCTTCTTATTGTGAAAGCTTTTTGCGAGGTGCGTCTGGAGCGTATTAACTATAACACGTCACCTTATCAGTAACTTATGAACGTTTGAACATTAATTTCTTCGTAGATCTAGGAATGAGATTTTTCAGGTTGGCGACTATGAAGCTACAACAATGGCGATACTTTATAATAACGTACTATTCATAGCTTTACTTTTGATGTTGTCATTCTTTATTTTTGCATCGTTTTCTCCAGTGTTCAACTGCCTTTTTTCGATGATCGGAGCATCCGGCTTGGTAGCTTTATTCTCTACTGCAAAGTAGGGTGTTCGGAAGTTTTGTTATGCTTTTAACGTTGTTTATTGCAGTTTCAATGTTTGCTAATTGTAACTAAATTCAGAGTGATTTTTAAAGTCATAAAATTATTATTTATTTTGCCGAGCCTTCTGATGGTGGTCATCTGTTTACTGTCATTACCTGAAAGCCTGGGTATTCTTTTTTTTTTTGACAAGATTTTACGTATTAAATTTGGAAAAGGAAGTAGTTGTTTTATATCCTGTTGGGGTTATGTATGTAAAATTAATGATTGTTTTTAACTTGTTCTCGTTGTTATGAATAAATCTGT